TGATTGATCGAGAACTGCTTATGAAATGGCATTAAAATTCTTTAATGCGGGGTGTGCGATAGACTTACCTCCACGTGGTGCAGCCTGAGCAACGTATACTCATACGGCAAAAAAGACTTCAAATTACAATGACCCTACTGTATATCATATTCGATCCCTTCTACAGTAATCATTTTACCTTTTCTATGCCTTTGTATCTGTCGGTCTCCTTCGCGTCCGTGAATCATTATTCAGTCCCACCTCTCGACTTTTTGCCACTTTGATGTTCCTTCCCTCTGTGAAGCCCGAAGTCAACTAAAGGGCTAATAATAACTATCAAAACGCCTGCCATTTGAAATAAATAAATAAATAAATTCTTTGACGCATTGTCAAACTCTCGGCAAGGTATTCTGAAAAGTTGTAGATTAAACTAAGAATAGTATAATTTTGAAAAGGCATGAAAAATATTAGGAAGTTAAATAATTACACAAACGACAAAATTAAAAGTAAAGTGTACTGGCTAATCAATTTAAATGTGATATAGTGAGCACTGGTTACAACTCGGCAATCAACTTGACCAAATCTTTCAAAATAATTCATACTGTAGACAATTGAGATTCAAATCTTAGTATTTAAATTACGAAATTTTGGTACTTACTTGAAGATAACCTGAAGGAATCATGGAATACCATAGGGAAAATTTTCGCACCTCCAGACATACTAATGACTAAAGCTCGCCTCCGAAGGTCATTTGTGAAGTGCCCAATGCCATCATAGCTGCACAAGAAAGGTCATGAGCACTCAAACACATTCGAAGGTGCAGCCGTGCTTCTTGTCGCCAAGGCAATAGGTGCGGTCGCGCGCACAGAGAAAAAACCAGTCCTTTCATTGTTTAACAAACTCCTCATCGTTGTCTAATGGCTAAGCTTTGTGGAAGACACACACCACAAGTAAACGTGTTTCACGCAATTCGTTAGCTCCTTCTATATCGTTGAGGGGCTCTTGCCATGTAGTTTATTGAAGGTAAGTCCAGGCTTAATGTTAAGGAATATCATTCATTCCTCCTAATTTTTGGATTCAATCTTGGGTTGTCTCGGCAATCGAAATTGATGCACTTTTTGGATAGTAAATATCAATTTGAGTTATACTACTTAATTAAATAAAGTGTTTTATAAGTGTTAACAGCAAGGCGAACTTCCTATAATAATGATTCCAGAGCCCATTTAGAAATTCGTTATCCAACATTTATTTTGAACAAAGGGTAATGGCCGGGAGCCCATTCGAGTGCGAAACTCGAATTGGTTCAGTTGTTTAATCCACTCACCAATAGCTCACCAACACGCATCGTACCCATAACATGTCTCTCGGTAGACAAATACATTAGCTGCTGCGCAACTTTTGCACACCTCTAAGCGATTTATTCCACTCTGTCTACTATCTCAAATTGCCCACACGCGCCCCTTTTCAAACACATCTTCCTAATCACTGTAACATTAAGATATACGGATTAGATTAAAGTGAAAGTAGAATAAAAAACATATCATTAAACCGATTAAAAAGATGTAAAATGTGTTAAAAGTCCAGCAAGTCCAGATTTCAGTGGAAGAGTTTCAAGATACCGTGTGACGGTGAAAAAAGAGCGTCGGAAAAGATTACCAGAAGGAAAATGCCAATTCCAATGAGTGCGAGGATAAGCATCATACTTGGACAAAAATGGGAGAAATCTCTCAATATTTCCCCAAAAGTCCTTCCGCACTTCTGTCGTTTCGTTGTCTTTTCGTTATTTTCATCAGCTGCTTTCTCCGGCAAACGCTCATTTTCATTCGTCGAACTTTCGTCTGAAGTTGCTGAATTAAAAGAAATGCTGGAACTTCACCCATATATTTGAAATTATACTAACTGTCGCATATTTCTTACCCATTTTGTTTTAAGAAAAGTGCAGATTTAAGCCAGACCAAATCAAATGGTGAACTGAAATTAGACCAACCTGTTTCTAATAAATTGATTTATGTTTTAATTTGAAATTTCATCGGCTGAGTTATATTGAGCGCAATCCGAGCAATTATTCGACATAAATGCAAACATATATTTGTCACATGCAGTTTGCGTTTCAAAAATGTTACAAATGTAAGTTTACAATTGGTAGAATGCGTTAGGATAACTAACATATTTCCCCAATAACTTTAATAGGTTAGCTTTCTACCATTCAGAGATTACACAAAGATTATACGGTTCTCTTCTTTTAAGTAGGAAAATACTCAAATCTTTAGATTCCTTAACCAACTATGTAGCATGAGTGTCAAAATGTAAATAATAAAGAAACGGCCCTTTTGTTGTAGTGAAAGCTACACACATAAGTCTGGACGATTATTTTCTGGCGTAATCCTCTCATACAAACTGCTCCCCATATCAGCTAAGCTATTTCGACCAAAGTAGAGCGAACTTATGAAGCGGTTAACGTTCATTGCAAATTATCGTCACTTCAAATATGACGCAATTGGGAACAGACTAAGCACAACCTTGAATGAATATTAATCGCTGATTGGCTAGGAGGACCCTTGCACGCACGACCGCACTTTCCAGAATGTTCGAATCAAATGAGATTCCTTGACATATATATAGCATATGCCTGCTTAATATAGTTGCAAAACTTGTCAAAGCAAATGTGCTATACCTAAAGTTTAGTCAAAATTGAAATGATAATGCTCAGCCAACTATAGGATAGAGAATAATAATTGGTTAATTGGTATAATAAATAACAACATATTTAGAGACTGCTTATTTTAGGACATATAAAGCAAGTTGGGTGAGCTATAGATTCTCCTCCATGTGGTGCACCCTGAAGAATGTATGCTCAATCGACAAAAAGGTTTACAAACTGGCATTTGACCTCTGACTTCAAACTACCACGACCCGACTGTTCGTCATATTCGACTATTTTCACAGTACACATCTCACCTTACCCTTTTTTCTAACTTTGTGTCTGTCTGCCTCTTTTACACCTGTGAATCGCTTTTATGTTCCACCTCTCGATTTTTTGTAACTTTGATATTCCTCCACTCTGTGAAGCTCTAAGTCAACTTAAGGACTAACGATAACTATCACAAAGGCTGCCATTTGATGCAAATAAATGAATAAATAATGCAGGATGGCTCCCAGTAAAACGCTCAGGTTTTTGCACCCTTTTTCACGATGGAAATGAAAGATATAACATCTTTGCAGTTTAGTAAGATTCTTATTAAAAGAAAGCACGGTAGAGTAAAGAATGCACCAAAAATTCACAATATTCCACTTCAACACAGCTAAGTGCTACTAAAAGTTTCGGACGAGCGTCGCTTGTCAGTACTGATTTGACTCTGATTCCGAAGGTATGTTTCGAGGAAGTAGGCCAAACAGCTGAAGTGACTTGATTTCACTGGTGGCATTCTACTAACTTCAAACCAATCAGCTTTTGAAGAGGTGGTAGAAAACAGCTGAAATACGAATAATTCAAAATTAGTACAATCAGTGAGAAAACATATTAAAAAAAGTGGCATTTTTACTTACTAGTGGTATAATATCCCAGAAACGGAAGTTCGATGTAATTCGAACACAGATAGCTGTGATATCGATCCATGCGTGGTCACAGTTCACCCAATCCTCCAGCTCACCTAAGTGGCACTGTAATTACATAGATACAAAATTAGTCTTCTACTTAAACCTAATTAAGTAACAAAATAATAAAATAATACTCACCAACCGAATTGGGCATTTGTCAACTTCTTCAACAATTAAACGATAAATCAAAGATTGATTTGAATCCAATGTAGAAGCTTCACCAGCCACCGAGTGCATATAAGAAAGAAACAGACTGTGGAGGCATTCTAACTTATCGCAGAAGGCGGTATGCTTGTAGATAAACTGTTATAAAGGCAAGAACGTCGATAAAACACTGATAATTCGCGAGGAAATTAAGAGACCTCTTACCCAAGGAAGTTGGTATTTCCGTCGTGGGCAGCTCCTGAGCAGAATTCTGCGTAGCACTTCTTTTGTTGAAGCAAATTCATTATTGGTCGATTTTTCTTCCAAAACTAACACCACAACAACAGCTGAGTTGGGCCCAAATGAGGGCAGAAGACCTCGTCCAGCAGTGCCTGTTCTTCCAGTGGGATTTTTCAGCACTGCTATTGACTTTCGCCCTCTTATATTTCCCTCTTCCATCTCTTCTGCCATCCAGTCTGGTGTTAAGCCCTCGGGATCGTCTAAAACTTTTGGTTCGTAGTTTGGAAACTCCTCCTATTTTGAAATACAGGTGAACAGAAATGGGCTTTTGCTGGCTTTGTTATTATTTCATCACAGAAATAATTAACAATGAGTCTAGATTGTCTTTACCGGTGTCTTAGTGACATTAACGTATGTATAGTAAATTCTTGATCAATCACGCTGGTTGATTGGTCGCATTATGCATAGTTTCCACAACAGAGGTGATCAATTGAAGCACTACCCTTTACAATATAAGTATCCACAACGCATTTTACGTGGACTTAAAGGAATAAATGTGTTTTATATTCTGAGTATGAGTTGATCAGTGGAGTGATTGAATGCATTCTAAAAGGCTATAAAGTTAGGCCCAGGAAAAACTGAAAGTTAATAGGATGTAAAGTCTATGTGTAACGAACAAGTAGCTCTGCATTGAAATTGAAATATATATTTCAAATTCATCAATTTAGGTGTTCAAGCTCACCGTCCACGGAATGAAGCGAGAAAGAGAATGCGGTGTTATATCATCTTGGGGGTTGATAAAGTAGAACACCTTGTGGTTATCGTAAGTGAATTGTTTAATGGGCAGCTTTAGAGGTTCGGCATCAAGTGCTTTTGACATGCGGAAAGCATCTGTAGTGGAATTGAGTAAATGTAAAATTCAAGCCCAAAAACAAGATATTTAAGAATATATCATTACACGTAGTCCTTTTATATGATTAAAAATTAACATGCTCAGTTGTCACTTCTGCCCTCAAATTCCACAGACCTCCTGCCATCTTCTCAAGTATTTGGAAAGAGGTGAACTGAGATTATCAATTTAGGATCACGAAAATGTAGGAATTAATGTGCCAAAACCAAGTCGTGTATGTAAAGGCTCTAGGTGTGAGCAAACCAACAGTTCCTGAAAAGTTGAACATAAAATGTCTTGGATCGTTGAGGAATTGAGTGAGAGAGTAGGATGAGGGAGATGAAGGAGAGAGGGCGGGGGTGAGAAGAGGCCGAAGAAGCAGACAACTGCGTGTGCCCAAGTGTGTGTGAGTGGCAAGGACACTCGTGACTAAAGGTTAATTTTCGTCAACGCTTTCCCCATAACCCTCCATTCACTGGATATAGTATTGACCTTGCTTCGTTTCTCCCAGGAACATCTATGATCATCTGAGGACATCAGGCGAAAGACAAACACTTGGTAAAAGGAATCTTCTAGATTCAAATCCTCAAGTGGTAACGTATTTGTAAGAAAATCGAAACGCCTTCGTTATTTAAACAAAAAACTCTAAATGAAGCATTGAATGCATCTAGCGCCAAAAATTTTATCTTTATTTAGACGAAAAACTTACCAAAATCTTTGCTCTGGGATCGACTGATAACTTTTCCATCCTCTTCGAGACAAGCTATTCTCGTCTATCGCCAAAAAATAAAATTAGAAATGTAATAAAAATAAGTTTATTTAATCCTTTTTTTCACTTTACCTCTTTTAGATTTTGTAATATATTCGGAGTTTCTGTTGTACTTTTCAGCTAAAATTGCGATTATGTTAAATAATTAATATGAATTCACCTTTTGTAGTTAAACAACAATTTTGTTGCAGTGAAAGCGCAGAAAATTCAGCTGGTGATGCTATGGGTTTGTTTTTTCGAAAAAAAAGTAGTTGGAAAAAATACGTAGCAAAAATTACAGAATTACTACTAGGAGAGGCGTAAGCATCGAAGCAGATAATGAGCTTATTTGTATCAGTGCGTTCACATTTGCATGAGCAATTCGATTAGAACATTTATTTATTTATCCATATCACATGGCAGGCGTTTTGATCGTTATCATTAGTCCTATAGTTGACTTCAGGCTTCACAGAGGAGAAGAAACATCAAAATGAAAAAAGTTGGGAGGTGGGG